TTGCCAGGGTAAACAGCTTCGCCTTGTGCACAGGTTTTTCCTGGCACTCTTGGGGGTAACAATGGGGCATCTTGGCGTAGGACACCTGTGGGTAACCCTCGCCCCCAAGGCCATTTTGCCTTGGCTGAATTTTGGGATGCAAACGGTGAACTGCGAAAACGTAATCCCTACCATGCTGAACCGAGCTCGCGTTCCGGTAGTGGTAGATACCTGGGCGTGCGTGACCCCCGGTACGGCTACAACCAGGCTTCAGGACATGCCCGGCGACATCCGTCGACATTCCGATGCACTGAGCTGAAACTTTCTGGACCCTTCAAACGACTTACGAAATCACGCCGAACCTACATCGATGGGATGTCTGAAGTATGTCGATGAAATCCGTCGACATCCCATTTTGGTTTGGTTGGAAAACAGGCCTCTCGATGTTCGGGTAATTACCGTGCTTACTCAAGGAAAGCATTGTGATTTTGGTGTGCTACCCTGATTTCTACACATCCAGATTTGAAGTACGCGTCCACTAGCAGACTAGACAACAACATTCCACGTCCGATTTCCGAGTAGTGGAATGTATCGCCCTGTAATATCCGACTGTAAGGCCTGGTTACCCGGCTAGAAACCCCTCTTCTCCGTTGAGGGAGGGATTTGGGCAAAACCGCACCCAAAATCCCAAGTGGCCCGTTTGGGTTTTCGGCAAACGCGCCACACCTTGATTGGATGTTGCAGCTTCCCCAACCAAGCCTCTCTAACTCAAACTCGTTTCCCCCAACCAAGCCTCTCCGAACCAAACTCATTTCCCCAACCAAGCCTCTCTGAACCAAACTCATTTCCCCCAACCGAGCCTCTTTCAGCCAAACTCGTTCCCCCCAATCAAGCCTCTCTCAGCCGAAATCGTCCCCCCCAACCAAGCCTATCTCAGCCAAGCTCGTTTCCCCAAAGAGGTTTGGTTGGGAAAAAACGTGTTTTCTTGGACCACGTCTCTGTGCTTCATTTAGGTGGGGCATTTGCTCCTGTGGGTAGGGCGTAGTTTTTGTAATCAGCAATAAATTGGTGAAGTGGTGGTTGCACTTGTAGTCAATCGTTTGGGTTTTCCTTTTTAGCACAATTCGGCTTAGAATAACATCCAAGCACTTGTAGATGAAATTGGTGAAAGGAAAAGTTCAGTGCACTTAAAAAAATGTGAACTGGACCCTGAAACCTTGCACATGCCAAGAAACCCCCAAAACTGCCCTGCAAAAAGTCAACATTTTTGGGCTACCCAGCTTGGACGAGTTGGTTGCGCGACTAACTCGGATTCCGCAGGGGGCCCTTCGGGACATCGAGAGAGAGGCCTGGTTGGAAACCCCCCAGCACAAGCAGCCGTGCTGCCAGCCCTCACATGCGGAAATTCGTTGACTCGGCAACTGCCCCACAGCACTTCTGGCAGTTACGTGCATACAGAATTATAGAAGGCACTGCGATAATGATTGCATGTCGGGTGCGACAGCAGATCTGGCGGTTACCGTCTGCCGACTGGGCGGATGGCCTTGGCTGCCTCTACAGCGCGTCCCTTGGGAGTGACGGAGCCACGTGTCCTGCCACAATCGAGGGTTTCGTTGTACCCAGGCCCAACAATCATCCGCGATATGTTAGTACCAAAGGGGGAGCATCGATGCTGCTACACCTGACGTCAGCTTGCTTATTTGGGCCAAAAGGCGAGTTACCTGAAAATATCTTTTAATGTTGCGTGTTTCGTGTATGTTGGAAGGGAGTCCGGCGTTGCAAATTTGGCACCTTACAACATGGATAGGAACTTTTGGGTCGACTGAAAGGTTCATGCATAGGCGTGTTCGTTTCACTCCTCGGCTCTTTTGTCAACATTTCTGTAACGTACTCCCCCCGGATATACGCCCCTCCGTATGTTAAGGCCTGTGGGCTTTATCCCGTTCACTGGGCCTTATAAACAGTATTTCATTAAACACCCCCCCTTCGTTTTATGGAAACCTGTACCATATACGCCCCCCCCTGTTTTTCAAGGCCTATTGCGGGATGCTTATTTCATTACCATTATCGCATTACATTTACACGTGATTATAATGTTATATCAAGATAACCTAAGCTTTAGCAGAAATAGCTAGCTCTACGCCCTGCCTAGCATACATTTGCATACATAAAGCCTATCTAGATGCTCCATCAACTATCCAGATGCTGCACAGATTACAGGAGGCTACTCCTCTTTCTCCTCCTCCTCCTCCTCCTCCTCCTCCTCCTCCTCCTCCTCCTCCTCCTCCTCCTCTCCTCCCTCCTCCCTCCTCCTCCTCCCTCCTCCCTCCTCCTCCTCCCTCCTCCTCCTCCTCCTCCTCCACCTCCTCCTCATTGTCCCCCCTCCTCAGCAGCAGCCACATCCTCTGGTGCCGCAGCAGCAGAGTTGTTCCTGGCGAATCCATCTGCGCCCACTTCATCGTCGACGTCCACTTCAGCCTATTTTTTGTTGCGCATATGCTGCAGAGTCAGGTAGTCTTCACTGCCGTCGAGAGAATTGCTGATGCCGCAGGTATTGAATGCCCTTTGAATGAGGGATGCCATGATTTCCCTCCACGCCTTGGAGATCCACTTAATGATCTCCTCTGGCAGGGGCTTGTTGATGTTGCCTGCGCGTATAAGAAATAGCCACTGAGTCAGGGAGCACTCAGAACAGGCAAGAAAACAGCAAGCTTGTTAAAAAGAAACTTACCCTTGGTGGTCTTGGTGTACATCCCGACCGAATCGAACCACTCTTGGTAGAAGTGGCAGACACGAGCCTTGAACGCGCGATTCACGCACATGTCTAGCGGCTGGACGACGGACGTGCAGCCGGCGGGGATGACTCTAGGCACCAGGCCGAACGTGGCATACGCCTCATTGACTTCCGCAGTCAGGTTTCCTTAGTAGGAGTCGAGGATGAGCAGGGCCGACCGACCGTGTAGACCGAAGCGCGGCTTTGTGAACGGCTTGTCTGCCTTGAGCAGCCACTCCTTCACTCCCTCAGCGTCCATCCACCCGTTTGGCTATGCTGCGATGACGACGTCTGCGAAGACAAGCACAGGAGTCAACAGCATCAAAAAAAGAAGCAAAACAAGCCCGACAAATGAGATTGTACAAATGATTTATGCTAGTTTACCTTTCGGGAAATCCCCCTTTGGCACCGTCTTCCTCTTGAAGTAGACCCATGGCTTACGCTTCGCCGGCGGCGGTGCAGGCAAGCATCACGATGATTCGTTCCTTCTGGTAACCCGTCGTTCGGATAGGGACGCTGTTCGTGACGATTTCCTCAACGGTGCGCTCGGTTGGCATCTTGAGCCAAAGGGGTGTCTGATCAGCGTTGATGATCCAGCACTCCTCGATTTCGTACAATCGACGGACCTCACGACAGAAGTGCCTGAAATTCTCGACTTTGACTTGGCATGCTGAGGGAGGGGGGATGGCGGGGATGGAAAACACATGGGAAAGCCAACGGTCAATAGGCGCTGTTAGAGATTCAACCAGCATGGGCGCCAGTGAGCAGCGTAGAGGTTCGAAAGGCAAAGCAGAGAAATAAACGAGAAAACACAACCTACCGGTGGGTCAATTTCTGACCGACTTTGGTCTTCGCGTGAATGGAGAGGTTCCAACGAGCTCTGAACTGCTCAGTCCAACAGTGGGAACCTTGCCACTTCACCTCCGGATGCAGGTGCTTCATCAGCTCCCGCAACCACATATGGAGCTTTGACACAGGGACAGGGGAACCCACAGCGCGCGCAGGAAGGAAGCGGGCGTATTCTTGCGTTTCCATGTCGGAGTACCACGACAAACGCCCATGGGCCGTGAAGTCGCTTACGACACCCAACGGTACCCTCCAACTCGTGCTCAGCCTTAATCCAGTCGTTGATGCGATGGCGCGAGACACCTGCCTCTCAAGCCACCTCTTTCTTTATCTTGACCTCCTTAAGATGCCCAAGCCAGAAGAGCTTTTCCTTGGCGGTGTAGGAATTCCGCTTGAGCTTAGTAGCGCGGTTCCTGGGACACGAGGGGGGAGGGGGGGGGGGGGAGCATCACGGTTTTCAGTAGAGGGTGGGGACGCTTTCTGCCCTCAGGGAAGGACGGGACATGCAATTTCTTGGGAAGTCCATCTTGCGATCAGTACTCAGCCTCGCCGCCACCGTCTTCTGCATCCTCCGGCCAATCGCCGCCGTCCGGATTTCCTTGTCTCGCGGGGGTCTTCGGGCTGGCCATCATGGTTGCCTTTGTCACGACCGGCAGGTTCATAATCACGGGGGGCTTCCTCCTCAGGAAGAAGCAGTGTCAAGGTGGGGATGCCGTTCTTAAATGCACGGGCAGGCGGTGCAGGCGGCGCGGGAGGTGCAGGAGGGCAGGAGGTGCGGGAGGAGCGGGCAGAGCAGGAGTGGGAGGGCAACACTAGGTAGAGGGAGGCACGGCGGCTCTAAGTCGTGTGGATCGCTAGGACGGCCGAAAAGAACGGAGAGGCCTGAGCCTGAGAAGCTAGCCATAACTCCCGCTAGGGGAGCTGGTGCGGGTTCTTGCTCATTCCATCGAGGAACAAAATAATGAAAGCAAGGTGACGGTACCCCTCTCAAGAATGCGGCCAGTCTTCCTCGTCGATGATTTTTATCGATGAGGAAGATTCCATTTTTTTACAACACATGGCAAGATTCCTTGCCATGTGTGCAGGTTCGAATATGTGCTGGCAATCCTTTCGTTTGAAGGTTCGACAGCATCTACATTCAGCCTTCTGTGTGCCACATACCCCATCCAACACGGAAGTACCAGTCACATGGCCCATGACACCCTACGCGGGGTGTGCAGGCACAGCACAGCACCGCTCAGGCATCTCATTGGACCGCAAGGCATCTTTCCTGCCTCGCGTAGATTCCAGAGGCTTCTGCGTGAGATCTGTTAACGTGTTTGCTATGGGAGCACGCCCACCATCACACAATTGTCATGAGCTACATTTTGGTATACTACAAAAAATATTATGTAAAAATCATTTTGAACGCCCATGGGCGTATAAATTAAATTCAAAGAAACGCTCCCCCTCATTTTCAAACCAGACCCCTAAACGCCCCTAGGGACGTATATCAGAAGGAATATGGTATAGGCATCTCTAGTTAGTTTAGATATGTTTGTTATAGGCTAGCTAGGTCAGTTCTTAAAGGGGCAAAAACTGTATTTGTATCACCCCTCCCCTCTTCCTAGACACAACTTTTCCCCCTACTCTAACATGGTATTGAGCTTTTTCCGCTGTTGCTCATGCTTCCGCCATAATTGTAGACTCATTTTTTTTCGCGCTTGTCTCTCTTCTCCCTCTCTCTCTCTCTCTCGCTCTCTCTCTCTGTCTCTCTCTCTCTCTCTCTCTCTCTCTCTCTCTCTCTCTCTCTCTCTCTCTCTCTCTCTCTCTCTCTCTTCTCTCTCTCTCTCTCTCTCAATTTCGCGCACCTCCCCCTTGTCAACAACATATAATTCTGTCTACACATATTTAGTTTGTTATAGCCTAGCTATGTCAGTTCTTTAGAGAGGACAATATTCTTGTACTTGTATCTACCTCCCCCCTCCTCCTAGTCACACTTTGACATGGTATTTAGCTAGGTTAGTTTTTTCTGCCGTGAGTCACGCTTCCGCCGCTACATTTTTTTTTTCTGCACGTGTGCAACTCTCTCAATTTCGCGCATCTCCTGCCCTCCAATTTCGTGCTCTGTAGCCTCGATGCCCTCCCCCTAGCATTCGCGTTGTTTCGTACGGCAGCGAGCAGGCCGGCGAGCCAGCCAGCATGCTAACCAACACGCTCGCCAGCACACCAGCTAGCACGCTAGCCGATACGCCAGCCAACGCGCCAGCCAGCACGCTAGCCAGCACGCCGCCAGCGCGCTAACCAGCCCGTCAGCCAACGCGCCAGCCAGCTAGCCAGCACGCTAGCCAGCTAGCTCGCCAGCCGCGTTTGCCAGCGCGCCACCAGCAGTGCTCGCCAGCTCACGCAGCAGCACCAGCCAGCTAGCCGCCAGCAGCGTCCGCCAGCTCGCCGCCAGCACCTGCTGCTAGCTACTCGCTAGCAGTGCCAGCCAGCTCCTCACTAGCCAGCTCTCTGCTGCGCCAGCCACTGCTCCAGCTAGTCGCCAGACAGCCGCCACTGCCACTGCAACCACTGCTGCTGCCTCTGCCACTGCCGCTGCCGCCACTACTGCTGCAACTGTGCCGCCACTACTGTTGTCACTACCGCTGCAGCCCTTGCCATTACCACAACTGCTGCAGCCATTGCCGCTGCCGCAGCCACCGCTGCCACTACAGCCACTGCATCTGCCGCCACTGCAGCTGCAGCAACCTGTGCTGCCGCCGCTGCCGCTGCCGCTGCCGCCACTGCCGCTGCAGCTGCTGCCCTTGCAGCCACCGCTGCCGCCGCTGCCCTTGCAGTTGCCGCTGCCGCCGTTGCCCTTGCAGCCGCCGGTGCTGCTGCTGCCATTGCAGCTGCCACTGCCACTGCAACAGCCCACGCTGCCGCCGTTGCCACTGCTGCAGTTTCTGCCGCCACTGCCGCCACTGCCCTTGCAGCCGTCACTCCCGCCGCTGCCCTTGCAGCAGCAGCTGCCGCCTCTGCCCTTGCAGCTGCCACTGCTGCCACTGCCGCCGCTGCCACTGCTGCAGCTGCTGCCGCCACTGCCGCTGCTGTTGTCACTGCTGCTGCCGCCGCTTGCGCTGCCGCCGCTGCCACTGCCGCAGCTGCTGCCGCCACTACCGCTGCTACAGCCGTCGCTACCGCATCTTGTGCTCCCGCCGATGCCACTGCCGCAGCTGCTGCAGCCCCTGCCGCTGCCGCTGCAACCGCCAACTGCAGCCACCACTGCCGCCGCTGCCCAGAGAAGCCTTGAGGGCGCTAGAGGTAGATCTACTCGTGCGGACTACCCTGCAGGAACGCTGTGGAGAAGTCGAATGAATGAAGCTCATAGTCACACTGCGTGGCTATGTGGAGAACGACCAAAGAGTAGTCATCTTCGGGGTCGGGGAGAAGGTCTGGAAGAAGTCCACACCCTCACGCTGACTGAAGCCTCTAGCCACGTAATGCGCCTTGAACTTCGGCGACTATCCATGCGCGTGCTTCACCCTGTAGATCCGCATGCTATCGACTACGTTCGTCCCAGGCGGGGGAACTACGTCGATGAAACTGCTTGTGGATCTGTAGAACGCCATCTCAGCCTCCATGGCTTGTATCCACAGGGCTGCCTAGGGCCCCGACACCACCTCAGCGTAAGAGCATGGAACAGAGATGTTGAAAGCGTCTGGGTCTCTCTGGGGATACAAGCATGGAGCAGACATGGGGAATAGCGCAGCAACGTAGGCCAACTCGTATTGCCTGTCCTCTAGCACGTCACTGCCAAGGGCAGGTGCACCCCGTCGGACGGAGGACAGGCAGTACCAGCGACCAGAG